AGATATAATCCTTTGACTTCAATGCAAAATTAAATTCACTCTTTTTTCCCATTGAAATCAATGCAGTTTAGAATGGCTTCTGGATAAGTTGCTCCAACCTGAACATTTAATTCTGCAGTAGTAAAGGGTCTATATTGCCTTCTGTGAGCAACATGGGACTTAGAGAATAGGAAAGCCCTTCCTGAGCAGAACTTTACTCATACCTATATCCAAGGGTCAGGCAGTTGGTGTGACATTTAGCCACTTTTATCCAACACTTGGCCTGATTGAAATAGACTAGGATGCCATGCTTAGGTGTCTTCCTTCCTCTTGTTGTAAATGATATGTCAAATCCAAGTTGACCAAAACACCATCCCTAGATTTGTTGTCATTTGTCCCTGGCATTTGTTCTTGTTATGTGCACCAAGCCTTGTAGTTGCATCTTGAACAGCAAATCTGAGGTGCAGATATTAGTAGGAGATAAAGTGCACCCCATGCTTTGCTGTTTCTTGAAGATCACACTGCTGTTAAAAGCATAAGAGAAATGTAGGCCATTTTTTCTGGTCAAAGGCAACTCTAGCGTGCATACACACATGTGCACATAATTGAATAAAGGTGAACTTCATCTTAAGTGAAATTAGGGTACATACTTGTGATGTTGACCATGGTAATAACGCTTTCCATGAGCTACTCAAATCACAAGCAAACTTCCTTACTGCCTGTTAAGTCTCCCTCAGTCATTCCATAAGCTAAGTTCAAATAGAAGTTGCATGATGAATATGTAGCTGAGCATGGTTTGCTGTAAGACATTTTTGAAAGTCATCAGTAGTTTGCCTTCTGTCTGGGTTTTCTTATGTGCACATTTGCCTTAAGCAGAGTCATTCTGGTGTTTCTCTATACCAGTGGTGGAAAACTTGTGGCACGCGTGCCACAGCGGGCACGCAGAGCCCCCTCTGTCGGCACGCGAGCCAAGTTGCCCCACCATCGCCCCAGCAGCGGATAGCAGCACACACAGGGGCCATGCACATGCTCGGAAAGGAGTAGTGGTGCCAGGTGATGATGCCACAAGCTGCGACACATTAGTCGCAACTCGTCTGAGCTTTCGTAGGACTGTCAGTGCACTGCCAATGATGTATATATATATTTGCTTGGACTTGCTGTTTTTAGGTTTTATTGCAGTGTTGGAACTTTGAGATAAATAAGTGGGTTTTGGGTTACAGTCTGGGCACATGGTCTCTAAAAGGTTCACCATCACTGGGTTAGGGTTGGAAAAACGAGGTGTCCAGACATGATTTTGATGTTTGGAGTGTGTTTAGAATGGGCAGAAATGAAGAGCTGTGTAGGAAAAGCTAGTGAAGGAAGGCTTTTTCAACATCCCATTATTTTCAATGGAACTTTAGCCCTATATTAGGGTTAGGGGTGTGCACCAGGGTAGGGTTACGGTTCGAGAAACAAGGTGTCCTGGCATGATTTTCATGGTTGGAATATGTTTAAAATGGGCAGAAATGGAACTTTAGCCCTGTATTAGGGTTAGTGGTGTGCACCAGCATAGGGTTACTGTAGTGGTGATGAACCTATGGCACGTGTGCCACAGCAGACACACAGAGCCCTCTCTGTCGGCATGTGAGGCAAGTCACCACAGCAGCCGAGCATTGGATAACAACGCACATAGGGCCATGCGTATGCTCAGAAAGGAGTAGTGGTGTCAGGTGATGATGTCACAAGCCACGACACATTAGCCGCAACTTGTCTGAGCTTTCACATGGCCAGTCAGTGCGAAGTGTTGGCACTTTGCAATAAATAAGTGGGTTTGGGGTTGCAGTTTGGGCACTCGGTCTCTAAAAGGTTCGCCATCACTGCTCTGTACCTTCACACACACACTGTTCATTTGCTTTACTATTTACTACAGCCACTTTTGTACCTTCTGTCATCTTCTCATCCTAAAAGGATTCCTTTTCGTACAACTGTTTGTAGTATTATATTGTTTCATTCAGCTTTATAGTTTGGATCCAGATTTAGCCATATTTAGGGAGCCATTGATTTCATGACTAAAACCTATTAAACTTTCAGCCAAGTGTTTGAGACAAGTGCCAGTATAACTTTGCCAGGATCACCTTCCATGGGAGGAACTTTGCCTATTGAAAGCGTAACAACAGCTACTGCATACCCAGTTGGTGTATGGTCAAGCTATTTGCCTCCACTGGAGCTTTCAGGCTTTCCTAGGGTGTCCTGGCCGTATTTTATCTGGAATGTGGAATACCATGGCTTCGTTGACAAGGTTCTCCAAAATGGCTGCAAGTTCTGGGGTTCTCTAGCACATTGCGCATTCCCAAATGAAAGTCATCCCAACATAGCCATGGAAAACAGTAGACCCTCTTTGGTCAATGACCAATTAGATCCAATTCTAACATTCCTAAGTTATTGTATTTTGCTAATGTTAATATAACCTCACATGGCTCTTCTCCTGTACCCACCATCACCATATAGGAAAATTTTGTTCCTTTTTATGTATTTTAGTGCAAAATATTAAAAAATGACTAATGTTCGATGCTGACATTTCATCCTTGGAAAGGTGTGACAGCTAAGTAGTCAGAGAAATGCATGTTTTAAATGTCAGAATTCTGATTTCTATGGTTTAAACAAAAGGCACTTTTAATTCAAAGATACATTGGAACAATTATACTACTTGCTTATAATGGCTTCAATTCAGTCATTTTCTTGAACCAGAAAATTACTACTTCAGGGACAATAACCTTGACACTAATCTCTTTCAAAATATTTCAAATAATTTGGCTGATTGGTCTTTTTCTTCTACACTAAAATTTTCTTCCGGAATTCACACTGTAAAGCTTCATGTTATGGAGAAAACCTATTATCAGATTTAAAGGTATAGTTATACTAAAGGTACCATGCTGTCTGATGGACAGGTTGAATAGTAGAAGGTCCTGGACTTTCATTTGTCTCTTCCATTGTCACTAAAAACGATTTCTGAGAATCATGATGAATAAATTTAATCCTACATACAAAACCTTGTCAAATTATTAGGTTTAATGGGGTAATACATTACCCCATCTTTTAAGCATGGCCCACATGATGCTCCCTCCAAATAAATATTTCAAATCAAAAGCACCACAACTAATATGCAATTGTGATTAAAAATTCTTGTTTTTATGAACAAGAACCAAACATGAATTAGGACCAATCCATTTAGACCAACCAGGTCTCTTACAAGACTTCTAGACTTTCCAATTCTGATTATGCATAGAAAAAGTGAAGGTGCGTTCCCATGTCCTTGTTTTTTTGAAACTATTACATCAGAGGGAAAAATAGTATGGCCAGATATTACCTCTACCCCTTCTGTATTTGCTTTGCCACACAGCCATGCTAGCTGGGAGAATACGATTTTCAGTGCAATGCATCATGAAGGCATCAGGAAAGGCTGCCTTAGCTGGTACATTTCCGGGGCTACTCCTGCTTTCCTGATGTAAGCTCTACCAAGCACAGAAGGGCATGTATGAGATTGTGCTCGTTGGTCTGGAGCTTATAAGCAGAGGAAGCAGGGGAGCTACTCCTTTTCATTAGTGCAGTCCAGAATCCTAGCAGTTAGGTAGGCATACAATTCGTATATGTTCATGTAAGGGGCTGCTCTGTTCATCACTGTTCGAAGGGGGCTTCCTCCTAGCTTCTTTGTGTAAACGACAGCACCAATGACCAGTCAGGTGGTTTGATATCTAAAACTGCCAGCAGCTGTGGTGTGCTGATAGAGGATCAAGGAGATGTCCTAGTCTTGCTTTTCAGGACAAGGATGCAGCTGGGAAGGTAGCGAGTGTTTTGGCCAGAATGGTGCACATGTTAAGTAGATCATTCACCTGTCTGACTTGTACAATGTTTCACCTGTACACAGGCTTATCTTACTTTTTCATTCTGCATAATGTATAGGATGGCTCTAGGATTAAAAACAATAACAGCCCAGGTACATACAAGGAAGATGACTGCTGTTGCTGTTTTTTCTTCACTAGGGATTTTTTTGCTTGAAGTTGGTGGGCTTCTCTACATGAAAAGTGCACAGAACAGCTGCTTGTACATCACTTCTTGTACAACTCCTGTTGCTCCCCAAATTCTAACATGGGGACCCTAAGGCGTAGCCCTCAACCTGAGAAATCCCCAGTGTCAATAACAGCCCCAGTGAACCACAGCATGAAATCCTTACATCTTCTCCTCATTAGTGCCCACAACATGCAAAACAAGTCTCTAGAGCATGCATTAACAGGAGTTTAGCATAGCTGAACCAACTGCAGCTTCACTGAAATTAAATGGATTTCTACATGCACATAGCACAGGTTAGATTTTGTTTTGATACCAGGGCAGATCTACAGACTATCAGAAATACAGTATTGTCACTGGAAATGGCAGTCCACATATCGAATTCCTGTCCCCACCAACAGTGTATTGTTCAATGGACTTCGTGATGTTTGGCTATCATGGTGGTGAGTCTCCCATTCCTATAATACTGGCTGCTGCTGATGGAGGTAGTGAAAGGACCGTATGATGGCACATGGGGAATTGGATATGGTCCTGCTAATCTTGTGTTACTGATCATGTATAATTCTGTTCTTTGTCAGGAATCAGTTTGGGTATATTGCATGTACAAAACTATTGTTAATTTCTTTCTTCCAACTGCCTATATTTCAAAATAAGCCAGTGCATGTAGATATTACTATTATTACTTTGCATTTATATTGCATCTTTTTTCTTCTTACTAGGAACCCAAGGTGACTTACATTTTATCTTTTCATCAACAAGCCCATGAGACTGGATAGGCTGAGTGCATGACTGGCCAAAATCACCCAGTGAACTCCATAGCCGACTGGGGACTAGAACCTGGATTCCCTAGGTTTCCAGTCCACATATACATATATTTAAACACATGGATACATGATAAAAGACTATATGCCTTCTGCAGCATCCTGTGGAGTTATAGTCCTGTGAGCCACAGCTCATTCTTCTTCTGTGTACCTTACCTTCAGGGAATCCATCCCAGATTTCTAATCGGTCATAGCGGCAGAACACTCCTCCTGGAGGACTGGAATCAGGTTCCAGTTCAAAGCTTTCAAACTCCAATATAATCTCTGACATCTTTGGTGCAAAGACAAAGTAAGTGCATTCCACGCTATTGGGATATTTTTCAGGGAATCCAGGAGATTTGATTACCCCACTCATAGATGTATAGTTTCTGGAACATTCTGGTCCTGCAGGATCAGAGAGACAAATAAAAACACAATATGCTAATAAAGTGGTACTTCGGTAGCTAGAGAACAAATTAGATCATTTTATCTTTCTAAACAGCAGAATGGTTTTTGGTGAAGCACCTCGCTGTAATCACCATATTAATCACCCAGATAACTTGTTCCTGTTATTGATAATCGGTATTAAAATGTAATTCACATTTATTGCATGAACTCCAATTTTCAATTTGCAGCAGAGAGATCTGAAAAAGAAAACTTGTGTGAGATCTGAAGAAGAGGAGGGGAAATTATGACAAAGTCATATGGGAACAATGAAAGTGTGAGCTGCAGAAATCTCGACAGCCCTGGGGAAATAATTATAGTCCCTTCAAACTTAAATCTTTACATCTTAAGGTTGACAGCATTTTATTGGTAAAATAGAGCATTTTGCAAGAGGAGGGGAGTGGATTCAGCAGAGGGAGCCGTGGTTTCAGATTCCTAGAGCCGCGACTCACTAACTCTGCCAGATGTGACCTATGCCTTTTTGACAAAGTAGATGTGAAAGGTAATTCGTACTTGTACCAAGGGTGACTGACTCATTCTGAGCGGTGTTGACACAGGTGCACTAGTAAAGTGTTGCTGTTCGTGAAGGCATGATAAACTGTGTGATTAAAGGCTACCTTGCTGGAATCTAACTAATATCGGTGTCGATGCACTAACCTTACTTATAACAGTAGTGGCACAGTTTTCACAACACCCCTGTGCAGAAAAATGGGTGCAACTCACATAATTTTCCCTACTGCATTTATGCTAGAAGTTGCTGAATCTTTCTGAGATTACTCCGATGTTCTTTCCTGTTGCTTAATATGAGGCTTATTTGGATTGACCTTTAGATATCAGAAATCCATTCATGTCTTATTGTTATATTTATACTCTGCTTCCACTGAGGAACCCAAAGTGGTGTACATGAGCCTTCTCATCTTGATTTCATCCTTACAATAACCTGTGAAACAGGCTGGCTGAGAGTCATTGGCTGGCCCAAAGTAACCCACCGAGCTTGATGGCCAAATGGGGAATAGAACCCAGATCTCTGATGTCCCAATTCATCTCCCTAAACATCACATCACACTGGTTCACTTGATAAGCTTTAATATTTTTTTTTAAAAGATGAAGCTGCTGTATTTGCCTTTGGAAGTAGCTCTCGCCCCCATCTAGAAAAGGAAATCCATTCAGCAGTTCCTCTTCCTGAGGGACCCATCATGTTCCCCATGCCTTTATTTGTGTCTCTGCTTGTGTATGGGCACGTGCTCACAGAGCCCAAAGCATGTGGTCCCCAGCCACATTATTTGCATGCCACAGAATCAGAATATAAGCTCTTATGCTATGTACTATATTTATAAAGGCTCCTATGCAAACATGACAACCAACGAACAGACATCAGCACAGGGTAATGTGCAGAACATCTCAGTAGGGTATTGCTCCCTGCTGAAAAATAATGGACCAGATACATTATTTGGCAAGCACAAAGCTAACTCCCATTTGTTTTTCTTATCAGGAGATAATTCTATAAAGGCATCATAAAATCTTTCTAAACCACAGTTGGCTTGATTTTTACAGTCTGCCAGAATATCCGTTCTCAGGAAAGTATTTTATGTTTCTTGTCAGGTTAGCAAGGCTATAAGCATTGCCTTCCTGCATCCCAGGAAATCCTCTTCACTCTCGATTCTGTTTCCCAGGTTATCATGCGGCAAGGCGCAGCAAGGCAAAAGCACCCCCATGCCATGAGGAGGTTATGGCTATCTATATGGCTCTGGGCTTCTCTACATGAGGGGTTTAACCTGCTGTTTTCTGGAGCCATTGTCTTCTGATTTCACTGGGGGAAGAAAGATAAGCCTTTTAGATGTCTCCCTGTCTTGGGATTGTCATTTCCTGCCTTACTATGGACTCTATTAATCGACCACAAGGTGGAGCCATGGTATACCTGCAGCCTAGGGCATTCATGGCTTTTCCCAGGCTTTTTGTTATGCTTTGAAATGTAATACTGGGCTTTCCTTGTTCTAAACCGCTCTCCCCAAAATGGAGTCCAACACATCTGCAGCAGGGTTAGAAAAGTTTGCTCTAAGGCTCAAGGAGAGATTTGCCCCACCCCTGCCATCAAAGCTCAAATAATCACATAGAGAGAGCAAGTAGTTAGGAACTTTTTCCTTTAGAGTAAATGTAGGAGCTCCTAAACACCCATTCTAAAGTCCAATATGAATTGGGGCCCTACATTTCCTTTTGGAGTTATTTTAGAGTAAAGGAAAAGAACAGTAGAAAAAGACATGCAACATGTACTTGGTCTGAAATCCTTTGACAGGAAATGCATGCTTTATTGCAAAGCTACCTGTCCTCTATGGATTCCAGTCCTGAGGCTGGAGCCAGTGGACATCTTAAAGAGATGTGTTCATACACAGAGATCTTAACAAATTGGAGTGCATAAATCTCCTGTCTAGGTCCACATGAGAAGAGTGTATTATCTTTGGAAACAATGACAGGAAGCACAGTGAATGCTAAGAAAATATCCAGTCGTCAGTACTGCTAGTTTCCTAAGAGAATTCCAGTCTGTTAGATACATATGTATATAAATAATGGCACAGCATAGGAAATGGATTCCTTCTGAAATGATATGAAACACACTACCTCTTGCTGATTTGGCTACCATCCAGGTAGCGGGAATATTCAGGAGACAACTGAGAAGCAGAGTTCACATTTGTTTCGGTGCCAAAACTGCCTCTGCATGAAATGTCGTATCCAGGCTCTGACAAAGTGGTTCATTTTGGCAAAATGCATACCCTGAGGTCCTGTACCTATAGTCAAATTCTAATTTGGGGGTGCTAATTTGAACATTTTCCCTTCAAGCAGAGATAAAGGTCTAATCCTGCTCCTTCTGCACATGTGAGATTGGGCACATGCAATCATTTTCTAAATGCAGCTTTCCATTTGTGGGAGAGATGCTGAGGAGAAGAATGATTACTAGCAGGCAACTCAGGCTGGTATATGAAGGAAGGATGTAGTGGAGAATTAATGGTGTCCCCTAAATTAATTTTTGCTTTCTTGTATATAAAGCTCTTTCCATAAAATTAGGGCTGAACAGAAGCTGGAGGTGAATTTATGAAAACTTCCATGCCCTGTGAAAGCGCTATACTTTTGGTGATTCATTCTTTTTATGGGCGGGTATGGTGTGAACTGGGGAAAAAACCATTTGCCTTCTTATAACTGAAGGCAATACTTTCTGCTTTCATTCTCAGTTATCTTTATGATCTGTTATGTGGTAACATCATAAAGCCAATTGATGTTCTCATGTAGCCGGAGCTGACCCGCTTCAGGGACGTTATCATGCTCTTTTATGGTCTCCGCTTGCCTGGGACCACACAGTGAGTAAGAAGATGAGGAAGGAGAAGCACAGAGAGAGCCTGTGTGGCTATGAACAGTCACAAATGGTCTTAAAGAAATGTACGTTAGATTTTAGTTTTTGGAGGTGGGGTTGTGTCTGAGGGTACTATTGATACAATAAACATTTTGAGTATGGAGATGTAGTGTGTCCCTATGGTCACATACGTACTCCTTTCCTTGTAGGGATGTGGTCTGTCTTAACTCTCAGACAAATGCTGCTTGCCACCAGAAATTTTAATTCCAATCTTTACACTTAACTTCCCCACAGTATTGTGCCCAAGCTGTTAGGCTCCTTCATTGGACTATATGATCCTGTTTGCTGATAATCAAACAGTCTACGACTGGGTTCACATTAAACAAACTAAAACTTTATTTGCAGAATAAGCATAATGGTTTCAAGATGTTCAGAAACTTACTTCATTGGTAGATAAAGCAATGTATAATAATAACTTTTGACTGAGAGATATCACTCTTTCCCCTCACAAACACTCCTCATACACAGATCCTCCTTTCTCTCCAGCACCCAGGTTTCTGTCAGTTTCTGTCTCTCACACACTTAGAATGCTGACAATATTAGGTTCTGACTCTCCCTAGACACAAATACATTCTCTAAACATTTTACTTACTTCTTTAGAATCTTAAATGCTTTTCACAGCACTATCTGGGATTCTACTGAGAAGGCTGCCTCTTCAGACTGTAGACTTCCAACAATGCACAACTCTGTCTGTTAACTTCTGACAGATCACAACTGACTGTAACTGCTGACAGACCACCACTCTCTATTTTTCTCTTCGTGCACACTTCCAAATTCTATCTACACACTCTCAGTCACCAACCAAGCACTTCACTCACCCCTCTTTTAGCCCCCCCTGCTCTTCTGAAATTTACCAACATTTAAAGGAACACAGTCCTGTAACACCATCATTACATCTATGTTAATTATGGATATTTATAAGTCATTGAATATAAAGGGAAATTAATAAGCTAAATATTAAAATGCACAGAGAGGGTGAAATTAGGTTGCATTAAAATAACTAAGAGTGTTTCTGTCACTTCAGCGGATGTCAAAATGCTACAGAAGTAAATAACAATAACAACACAATCTAAATGTGTTTACGAAGCATCCTTGATAGCAATAAGCTAAGAGATAGTATCATTTCCTGATGGAAAGTCTAAAAGTGAAATTGAGCTTTTGTGTAAAGACATATTTTCTTTTGAGAGATCCTTTGGTTCAATGTCCTGACATTACAGTTTTAACCATCCTACTGATGCAGTTTTCTGCGTACTACAGCTGGGGACAAAGGAGTATTCTAGTCCAGAGGCAAAGGAACCAGATGATGAGGGTTATTTCAACATTTGTACTTTGTGAGAGAGTATGTCAAGGGTTGGATTAAAATTGCCGTGCTGGCAGTGGCAAGAGAGCACAGAATGTAATGAAGCAATCACAAAGCTTAGGAAAGAACAGTACAGCATCATGGTGTTGTCAGGGCTAAAAGTGGAGATTGAACTTGCAACCTGTCAATTGGATAGTCCAGTGGTCCAGGGAAGGCCTGAGTATGCTTCCAGAGATGCCAGTCAATGCAGCCAGAAGCAGGTAGTGTGATTCAAGGTAGACAAGACGAGGTACCATATCCTAAGGATACCAATTGTGTCTGAAAGCCTGAAGCAAGGACATCATCTAGTGAAGCTTTGCATGGCACTGCAGTCTTTAGCACAAATTGCTCAAGCTGAGGAGCCAAGCCTGAGGCAGCAGCTATATGCAGCCTTCCAGGCCCCTACCAGCTCCCCAGGCCGCAGTACATCTTTCTGCTTGCTATTTGAGTAGTACTGCGGAACAGCAAGGATCATGCAAAAACAGACCAGAGCGGACCAGAGTGTAAGCCCTTGGAGACGGCCCTTGCACCTACTTTCAGATTCTCCTGGTGCCTTGCAGGCAGTTGCAGTCATTTTTCTGTGGCAAGTGTGCCAAAGCTGAATCTCAGTTCTAAGCAGTGCCCTTGTTGTAGGGAAGTTTTGCCTGTAACAGCCACGAAGGAGGTAGCATTGCAATACAGCACAAATTCACGTGTTAATGCCATATCCAATCCCCCTAGCTTCCTGTGCCACCTGTCCATGGCTGGCTGGCCGTCTATGCTAAATGACAGCTTTTCCCAACCTGGTGCCTTCCCGATGTTTTGGACTGCAACTCCCATCAGCCCCAGCCAAGTATGACCCAGGAGATACGGCTGAATAGATCTGGAGGACACCAGGTCAGGAAGGCAGCAATATGGAATACTCATCATCTTGTTTTCTGAGTCTTAGGTTGCCGTGTACCTGGGAATAACTGCCATTAAACTCAATGGAACTTACTATTATTATTGCATGGCATTTCTATACAGCCCATAGCCAAAGCTCTGTGGGCATTTCGCAACATTTAAGTCACCTATCCAGATTTCAGCCCTGCTTACCTGCCAAGATTAGGCACCATCAGGCACTTCAGGCTATACAGAAGCTACTTCTGAGTAGACATGCCCAGGACTGTACTGTTGGACTTTGAAACCTGAACAAACTTGATTTTTATGAAGTGCTTTAGTTATATTGTTTTCTAGGCTTGCATTCACTGGGCACTTGCAATGCCCCAAGGTGCATGCTCAGCCCTTATTCATTTCTCTCACAATTTAAGGTGTGAACCCTTGATATGGATTTTGTATCAAATAAATGTGGTAATTCAGCTTTAATTAGGATACATTAAAATGTTCAGAAAGAAGGGAAATATGATCTCCATGTTTTTATTTCAACTGTAACTCTTAGACCACACATGTATATGTAATCCTTTCCATCCCTGTACAAAGTGGTATCATTTTCCTTTTGATATACTGTGGCATAAACCTGAATTAGAATTACTTTGGGACCTATAAGTTTGAATATCCTGACTTTTGTGTGCGCAAATTCTCATTTATAATGTTGCCTTAATGTTAACGAATGCCTTTCAGAAAGAGATTTAAGGGATTGTACAAGGGAAGAAATGCAAAGGAGTGCTGAGCTGCTGTGAAATATCAAGGGGACCCCACTGAAAACACTTGCTTTTTAAATACTCATCTAGAAGCTCTTTCGGTGGTTTTGCCATTGTCCATTTGCCCTTAAAATGCAAGGCATAATTGGCAAGGCAGTGAAAATGTGGCCCTAAGAACATAAATGCTTCTGTTGTATAAGGAAAGCTGTTGTTCCTATAAAAGTTAACACCCTGGGTGTTTACTTTATTCATCCATTATCTAATTTTGGTTGGAAGACCTCCTGTCTTTGGAATGTGTGCTTCATCAGGATGCATTCAGGGAAGGCATCCAAAAAGTGCACTACTACTAACTGAATGGCCAGTCACTCAACCAAGGATTTGACCACATGGTAGAGGGACCATTTGCCAGTCCTTCTAATAGCAGAAACCCTTCACACCTTCTTTTCTAAGTTGTGTTCATTAATCTGTCTTCACTGTAAGACACTGAAAGACAGGAGCCGATGCTTGAGGCCTATTTTAACTATTGCTCTTCTTCCACTTCTAGCAAAAACGTTTCAAGCTACTCTCATGATGCTCCTTGTCATTTGTTCCCTTCATTTTCTGTGGGAACCCAAAGTAGACACAAGTCCTAGACTGCAAAGGTTACTGCATCAATAAAAATGGCAATGTTATAAATCATCCAGCAAGCAGACAGAGCTGCAAAAGAAAATCAACAGTAAAAAAAAGTCTAAGTAAAGATTTTTTCAAAAAAGAACAGCCGCAAGAAACTCATTGATTACTGAGCATGTCTTAAAGAAATAATTTTCTTACTGGTCCAGCAAAGGTACAGATGAATAGTTTAATTTAGGATCAGCCATGGCCAACATCCCGTTTCTGGGCAAGGTGTTGGAGCGAGTGGTGGCGGGACAACTCCAAGCACTCTTGGATGAAACTGATTATCTGGATCCTTTTCAGTCCGGCTTCAGACCCGGGTACAGTACTGAATCTGCCTTGGTCGCCCTGTACGACGACCTGTGCAGGGAGAAGGACAGGGGGAGTACATCCCTGTTGGTTCTTCTGGACCTCTCGGCGGCTTTCGATACCATCGACCATGGTATCCTTCTGGATAGACTTGCGGGACTGGGGGTTGGAGGCACTGCTTTGCAGTGGTTCTGCTCCTATCTCGACGGTCGATTCCAGAAGGTAGTGCTGGGGGACCATGTCTCTACGCAATGGCAGCTATGCCATGGGGTACCACAGGGCTCCATTCTATCCCCTCTGCTATTTAACATCTATATGAAACCGCTGGGAGAGGTCATCAGGAGGTGTGGGCTGCGGAATCATCAATACGCTGATGATACCCAGCTTTACCTCTCGTTCTCCACTAATCCAGGTGAGGCAGTGGCTGTGCTGAACCGGTGCTTGGCCGAGGTAAGGGAATGGATGAGGGCCAATAAACTGAAACTCAACCCAGACAAGACGGAGGTCCTGTTGGTTGGCGGATCGGGTTTCGGAGAGGGTGGATTTGACCTGGTCCTGAATGGTGCAACACTCCCTCTTAGGGATAAGGTCCGCAGCTTAGGAGTACTCCTCGACCCGGAGCTTTCTTTGGAAGCTCAGGTGACAGCGGTAGCGAGGAACGCCTTCCTTCAGCTTCGGCTGATTAATCAGCTGCGCCCCTACCTGGAGTACGACTGCCTGGCGACGGTGACACACGCGCTGGTGACTTCCCGCCTAGACTTCTGCAACGCGCTTTACGTGGGGCTTCCCCTGAAGACAGTCCGAACACTTCAATTGGTGCAAAATAGAGCTGCCAGGTTGCTGATGGGGATGGGGCGTTATGCTCACATGACTCCAGTCCTCCATCAGCTTCACTGGCTTCCCATTGAAGCCCGGGCCCAATTCAAGGTGTTGATTATGACCTACAAAGCCCTAAACGGCTTGGGTCCTGGCTACCTGAACGAGCGCTTACGTCCGTATATGCCCGACCGCCCTTTGAGATCTGCGGGAGAGTCCCTTCTCCGGGAACCCTCCATGAAAGAAATTAGGAGAGTAAGTACTCGGAGGAGGGCTTTCTCTGCGGTGGCGCCCAACCTATGGAATTCACTCCCCAAAGAGGTCCGCCTGGCACCGTCGTTACTGGTTTTTCGGCGCCAGGTAAAGACCTTTTTATTTAAGCATCATTTCAATTGTTAAAACATATGATCTGGCCGGGGCAACTTCTTCTTCCTTCTCTTTCTCCTCCTATATTTTTATTTTATACAGATAATTTTAATTTTGTATTTGTAAATCAATGTATTTTTTTGTATTTTTATATTTAATGGTAATTTATTATGTACTATTGTATTTCAATGTATTTTATCATGTTGTAAGCCGCCCCGAGGTTTCGGCAAGGGGCGGCATAGAAATGTTATAATAATAATAATAATAATAATAATAATAATAATAATAGTAATAAAGTTAAGTTAATGCCTAGCATTTTGGTTGTAGCTGTTGATTGGGCAAGAATCTGCAATAAGTTGTATTTCTTTATGCAGTCGTGCATGGTACTATCCCATTTTATGATTCTTGGAACACACTTGGCAATTTCACTCCAAACACGTGTATACAGGATACGTTCATTTAGGTATTTATTTATGTATAGGACTTTTGTACATTGTAATACATGACAAAATATAAAATGATGGATGATTTAAAATTTTGCAATGATAATGTCAGTAAAGCAGGGTAGCGAGATAATGCATTATAGGTCAGTGAACACTTGTATGAACGAGTCTGTATTCAAGAGTAGTTGAAGCTTACTGCAGATTTTGTCTCTCAATCTGCATGTGGAACAGTGTCCCAAAGGGTAAGTGTCACTACTAAGGAAGCCCACCTTGAATATCCTCCAGAATGATGAGTAAGGCCACTTCACAAGATCTCAGGGGTCAGCTAGTTCTATCTAGGGAAAGGTGGTTTGCTAGGTCTATCCATAGGTATCCACATCTAGATTTATGACAAGGCAGTACACCTCCAAATGCTAAATGTTAAAGGCAACCAATAAAGGATGATGTTCATTATCAACATAACAGTCTTGTGAGCTTTTCAGAATGTACCTTGCCATTACTGAAAACAGAATGGAAGGCTGCTGGAATATGTATTAAACTTGGTATTAAAACAGCCTAACATACAGCCTCTGGTTCAACTCACACAATAAGCCAAACACAATGGTGAGTATGTGTTGAACATGTCTGTTGCTAAAATCTGAGTTACCATGTTGTCTGAACACAGCTGCACTAACAAATCATAGTTTAGCCATGGACAATTCGTGAAAAGAACCTGTGGTTTGTTGTTGGGTTGTGTATTGTGAGTTATGCACGGCAAACCAAATACAACTTACTCTTTTGTCTGAACACAGTTGGCCACTTGCCTAGGGTTGCTTGGTGAACATCATTTGAACCCAGCTTTTCATAAAACATGCACTCTAGCCACTAATCCATCATAAAGTGTTGTTTTAATTCTCCCCTCCCCAAATATTGGGCCTCTTATATATTAAAAATAAATAGCAGAGCAGAACAACCCTAAGCAGTGTTGCTTACCTCTTTTGAAAATTTCATAGCGAATGGAAAAGCCGGCTCCATGAGTTTCATAATCAGACACAAACTTGATTAAGAGGTACGGCCCTGTCGATATCACAGGAGGGGGGGCGATCTTGCCACAGAACTTTCCCCATACTCTCCCACTTGCGTTGTCACCATCAATCACTTCAACATAATCGTACCTGGTAGATAAATTGGAGAAAGAAACTTTTAACTTCCAGGAAAGAAAAGAGAGCTAATTAATTTAGGAACCATAGCCATGCAGCATACATAATGAAGAAAAATGCCAGCCTGTTTGGAAGCTGCATTATGCTGAGAGATATAAGCAAAATGAAATAATTAAAATGGACTACATCATGTCTGTAGACATCATCTGGCAACATGGATCTATTAGGAAGAATGGCGCCCATTATGCTTACAGACAATGTCAGCTAAAGTAACCAATTAACAAGAAAAAGGAAATCTCATGAGTACAATTCTGTATTATTAAATTGCATTCCTTTGTCTATAGCAGCATTGTTATCAATACATAATACACAGAATTCTTTTCAGATGGTGAAGTTCTTGTCTGAATTCTAAAATGTCTTTTTGGCTTTAATTTCTGTATAATACTTTAATTTCTGAATGCAACTCTCCAAACATAGGTCCCTAGAATAATAAATGAAGCCCTAAATATTTAACGCTCCCTACTACTCCACTGCTTTCTTGATCAGTATATAAACATGCATCCTTTTTACAACACACCACTTGAAATAACCAGAGAAAGCTCTTTGTGTTACAGAAAAAGAAAATTGCTTTGCATTTAATATCAGAACTAGGACGTTCTTAGCAAATGAGTTAATATACATTTATGCACTAATAATAATTGAAAATTCTACCAAAATTTATATTTTATCAAGCTTTCTTTCATCTACATGGGCAAGTCAAAGAACGATATATAAAGAACTCGAGCTGAAAAGCAAAGAAATCAGAATAACATTGTTTGACTATATGAACCTGACTCAGACCATCTACCATAGAATTGCTTAAACTGGCTTGAGGTGGTTCTCCAGTGCCTTAAAGTAGGACTTTCCTTAACTCTCTTGCCCCAGAACCTCCTAACACAGATGCTGTGGACTGAACCCAGAATTTTTTCAATGCATAAAAGCAACATTACATGAAGCTGATTGGTGGGAAGGGAACCTCCCTCCCTTTTCTCCTCTTTTCCACCTGTGTCCCTTTTTGCACCACTTGATGGATAAGTAAAGGGGGAAGGGGAGTTGGTCTGCAAGCTGGTGAACTAATGAGAAATACTTTATAGTTGGTGAGCTCAGATGAAGATGCACAGGAGAGAAGACAGGAATTCTTTACTGGCTTGGATTTGGAAAAAATAGGGACTTTGAAAGCACACTTCTCTTTTGAGTAAGGCTTTTATGGCTTTTTGTATTTTTTTTAAAGAGAGATATCCAATTTCTTTATCTAATAAAGCAAAATAATTTTTTAATAACCTGGGATGATGATTATTTTTTTTGATAAGTTAATGAGGAAGATGGACCTCCAATTCATTTCTGGAATAATAGATTTTAACCTGACATATAAACAGACCAATTAATAACTGGTATAACGTACTATTTATATATTATATAAGTACAGATACAGAAGCAATGTTGTGTATGCAACTGTTTTAACATATTGTTAGAATTTTTGAAAAATTGAAAAGTAATTAAAGTATCAATTATCCAAGCCTGGAGTTCTGTCTATGTTAAATTACAGGAAAAATTATGAGAGAGTTGGCACTCTTCTGCTGGTCGTTGCACAACCACTGCTGGTGCAAGCAATACATAGCCTGATAAAGTTACAAAGAGTTTTGCAATACCTTCTCAAATGCCTTGTGCAGTGGCTTGTACAAGTGAAACAAAAGCCACTGATTTGACATTTGCATAAGGATGAAAACAGGATTTGAACTAGTGGTACATACTTCATACTAGGTGGATGATACCACTGGATACCTGGATAGGATTTGACCAGCATCTCAGTCTCCACAAGGGTTAGAATCACAGCACACTTAGCCTGCCATCAACAGCCCAATTACTGTATAGATATTCAACACTGATGATTTTCATGCCATAATTGTGTGAGGTAATGGTACAGTCCACATGTCTCTCTGAATTATGCTGGTGACTGTCCCAGATTAGATAGTTGCTTCCTTTCTTTTACCTAAACATGTCTAAGTTAATGCTAGGCTTCATTACAAATGGAATTTCTCAAACCAAACCAAACCAAACCAAACCTTTTCCAGCTTGGAATGAGAATTATTAAATTATATCATGGAATTATAGAATGAGAATCTGTAATATTTTGAGCATGTGCTGTCAGCATTCAGCATACCAGACGGCCAAAGCCAATTGATGTATAGGGGCATACAGGCAAATGTTCTTTGGTTGCTATGAACTGTGTGACTGAGTCATGCAACCAAACTATCATTTATTTGGTGCATCTCTTCTTTATTTGTGGTGGTGCCCAGATTATGGAATACACTTCTCAGGGAGGTTTGTCTGGTGCCGAGCCTATATTCTTTTTGGCGCCAGGTTAAAACCTTTTGATTTAATCGTCATTTTAAAAATTAGCATTTTTAGTGTTCACATTCGCTTTTGATTTGATTTATTGATTTATAGTAATTGTATTGTACTGTTTTATTGATTGTTTTTATGGCTATTGGTTTTAATCTTGTAAGCCGTCCTGAGACGCGATAGTGAAGGACAGCATATAAATGTTTTAAATAAATAAATAAATTTGGGTAAATTCTCCCTAATGTTGTTGAGCTTCCTCATTTTGGGAGGGGTTGTCCTTGCATTTCCAAGTGTTTTGTTACCATGGCTAGGGCAGAAAACTACAATTCACCGGGATCAATATGAAAAAAGGTTTGTGGCAGGATGAGTGCACATATATTAACATTATAAGCTGGGAGGGAAGTCTTCGAAAACACGCTGAGAAACATGTAATTACTGAGCTACAGGGAGATTGCATATCACTGGTTTATGCCTCATTAAAGGATTATAAATCTTTAAATAATTAGTCAGAGAGATGTCTCCTCATGTTACTCTTCCTGTTCATGGCCTCTTTGCTGGTCATTGTCTGCCTGTTCTTTCATTACTGGAGACGTCCTTTTGTGTGTACAGAGAAACCCACACTCATATGCCGCAGATCCTGCACTCTTCTTCTTGGCATTAATTACTATGTTGTTGCTAATTACTATGGAATAGAGAAGGGTTCTTTCTGTCCATACACAAGAGAAACTTTAAACCTGCTTTTCCATACTACATAAACTATATTAATGCATATTTAAGCAAATTGATGCAATGATGTAATTTCAGTTTTATTTTATTTTCTTAACAAACAAGCAAGCAAAGATAGACCTGCAATCTAGAGAAGGGAAAACATCACCATCATTATTATCACCACCACCACCACCACCACCCTTTTATGTTGCCCCATAGCTCATTGGGGTCTCTGGGCAGTATACAGATTTTAAAATATACAGAGGAACAACAAAATAATCATATTTAGGAAGCAATAAACAAAAAATTGGCAGCCTGCAGCAAAGCGTCCCAGCTCTGAATGGCACTGAAACAGCACTGAATGGGTGCCATGCTCTTTGGCACCCACCCAAGGGAAATTCCCAATGCCCCGAACCCCTCAAATGGTCCTGTGATGGGAAGCCTTGCAGATACTGGATCTGTAGTTTGTATTAAATGGTTAAATTAACCAAATGGGTGGAAATAATATACAAAAAGGAGTGCAAGTGAACCTGAGAGCACTCTGCCTTCTGATCATTTGAAACTGCCCAGCTGAGAAAGGAGGGAGAATCAAATTGCTCTCCTCCTCTATTTCTTAAGCATGTGTTCTTTTAAGGGCAGAGATCTGTCCTCAGTCCTGTGCTGTTGTACATTCAAATTCCAAAAGGCTGGTTGGGAACATAAATTTACAGATGATTTAAAAAAATACCCCTATAATTAATTTAAAAACCCGATTACACATGTCAATCAAGTAAGACCTCTGTATCTGTGGGGAGATAGGTCAACCCCTCAGTGGATGCCTGAAAACTATGGATAGCAGCAAGTACTATAGACTTTACATCAGCCCTCCACATTTGCAGGGATCAGGGGTGTAGGACCCCCATGAAAGTGGAAAAACCAGGAGTATCTCTATAGAAAAATTGTGAATATCTCTAGGGACTCTGCTTGGAGATGCCATACTCTTTGTCTTGGTACTAGCCAGCCTCACTCACATGTTTTGTCTTTCAGTGGTTGCAAAGACTCTAGATGTTTGTGTTTTCCTCCAGATATAGTCACAGTTTCACGATTTTTCCAGTTTGTGCCCCTGACCCCTGCAAATGTGGAGGCCCATGATCACCCACAGTTTAGGGAAACTGCAAGAACTGAGGCAGTGAATATGGAGGTCCTACTACATAAATTGTTGTAAGCCGCCCCGAGGCTTCGGCGAATGGGGCGGCATAAAAATGTTTTAATTAATTAATTAATTAATTAATTAAGAAAGAAAGAAAGAAAGAAAAAGGTGGGCTCTCTTAAGGTGACTCCATTGGAAGTGAAAGATCAAGAGGTCAAGAAACTCCAGATAATTTTTACATGTGGCTTGAGCTCCTTTCTCTGGAGTAACCTGAAATGATGACTGTTTAATTCTTCATACTATAATATGTTGACTTTAGAAATTTACCAAATGATTTTTAATCCACACAATCTCATTTTCTTTTCATTATGCTATTATACCTGGCATTAATGTGCTGCATTAATTTGCTTTGGCTATTTCATCATTTTGTTATGCATACTGAACCTCCCAAATTATACCAATGTGTGTGTGTATATGTGTATCTATATTTAATGGCAGTGATGTAAACTCTATCAGACAATGCTGAAGTGGGCAAAAGAAAAAGTCTTTACGCTGACCAGTGTCACCCATAACAATGCAATTCCAAACTGTCTGGGGCCCCATTATTTATGTTTACATGAGATCTCGGGAGACAACTGCAAAGATGATATCACTAGTTAAAGTGGACAGCTAAAGGCTCTCTAAATTAAAAATGACATTACCTCACCGTTTAAAATTGTATGCCAGCTTTGGTATATATCAAATTGAAAATAAAGCTGACACTGATGGTAGTGTAAGCATTAACATATGTGAAATA